AATTTGCTGCCAGAAATGATTTGCATAACAAGCGGCTTTCTATATAGTAGTATGTCATTGATGTCAGCTAGGACTGTATACCTTGTACATGTACTTGTAGAATATAAAGATATTCGCATAATTAAGCTTTACTTGCACGAGCATAAACCTCAGATACAGAAACCACAAGAAACACTTGCAAGTTCAAGCCTTAAGAATGAATATAAAGAGTGTGACGAACTTCTCTTAAGATATAGATAAATGGTTCAGAGAACTGACAAGTTGATGAACTAGACACATGTGCAACACGTGGGTATCTTTATTGTGAAAACGTTTCGCCACACAGTGATTTCTTCAGTCCAATATAAAAAAATGGTTGAAGATCAGATCAGGAGATCAGGAGTAGTTTGAGGTAATCAGTCTTTCAGCCTGGAGTCAATGTAATCAGTCCATCAGTCTTAAGAATGCAGCATATGCGCGAAGAATTATTATATTATAATCATGGGGGAGCGCTAAACCCGTAGGATTATACAGCGCACGTGGGGAGGGAATGGAAGATATTCAGGCTTAATTCAGGGAACCGGAATACAGACACAATTTCCTAGATCAAGAGCCCCTCACCAGCATCAAGGAATCTCCCTTGAGAGTTATGAGCAAAGAAGGGGCTTATATACTGTAGAGAGGTAAGGTGAAGCAGTCGCAGGTGGTGTCACCTTGGACAAATCCACAGGTGGATGAACAGATGAATAGAAATTCCAAGAGTGAAGTTACTCAAGCTAGCACATTGTCTTACTCAGACGCTGAACATAAAACCACCATCAGTCGAGCTTGTTCGACCATAGGAAACTTAGGAAGACTTAAGGTTGATAGTTTCTTTGATGGCATTGCACATTTCCCTCATATTATTTATGAAGGTGAGTACACAGTGTCTGGGTTGACTTGTACTCGGGTATCTCATCAACGGCTATTTTTCAACTCAAAAATTAATTCTCTGAGAGAGACGGTCAAAATATGAAGAATATCTTGTTGCAGTCTTTTCTAATATTGCACCTAAGTAACATGACTTTTTACATTTTCAGTGATAATTTAGTTCAGTGAAAAAGTTATATATAAATACACTGCCATTGTATGGTAGGAAATGTGAAAATAATATGTATATAATCTAAAGAAAAGTTTAAAATCTGGATAATGGAAAAAAGTTACCAGAACAATAGATGAAGATCTCATCCAGTGTAGTGATATACTTGTTTGTCTGAGATATTGTGGAACAAGGCACCAGAGACTGTGACGGAGGGCGGCTGGAGGGTTGCACACAACATCTCCCGGAGACTGAGGTGGATGGTAGTCTAGATAAGTTTCCAGAGCATCCCCAGAGACCGATGGGAGTTAAGAGAATAGCTCTCAGAGTAGTCTTTTGAGTCCACGTATGATCATCTAGGGGTGGGGTGATATGATCTCGTGCAGCAGTGAGTCTCGAGTTGCCTGATGTATCCTGCTGTTCTACAACTCGGAAACACTGATGTGACAAATACTGTGACAAGATGGTCCCCATGACCAGACGATTGAAGATGACAAATGTTTGTTGATGAAAATGAAAGCTCTAAGAATATAGTACTCCATGTTCAGAACGCTAGTACAGATGTGTAACGATAATGGAGTTTAGTTTTGCTTATGATCATACTATTTTATTCGAGTTATTACTTGAAATTTGTTAGGGCGACAAAGGTTTGAGAAGGAGATATTGTTACACATGTGGTAAATACTGTGGCACACTGAAGAGTGACTGATAGGTTGTCATATATCTGTCGTCTGTTATTGGCTGATTGAAAACGGGGGGTTCAGGGACTGATGCCAGCAAGCTAAAGTCAGAACTAGATTTTCCTGGAAGAGAAGATCCTGGAATCTGTCATTGTATCTAAGGCTAGAGAGGCCACCATTCTTGGCTAACCAGGAAGCAGACAATCGGCAAAGAAGGAAGAACACATTCATCAGTAAATAATTATCCAGTTTGCGGGGAAGGCTAGTCAGAGAGTGGGGCTTATTAATGCCTTCTAATTGTGGCGGCACAACAGTGAAATTTTTGACAGTACAATGCAATTTCGTGACAGTGATATTTACAATGTTTTTTGATGCGATGAAATTGTTAGATTCTCTGACATTGCAGTGATATTAGATATGGTAATGAGAATACAGTAGTGTGTTGTGACATTGTGTTTAGTCTTGATTATTATGTGCACAGAAATAGTAATATCAAATACAATATGACTTAAAAGTAAGTGAACTGACTTTAGATGTACACAAGCCTAAAATTTTATTAGTGTTTGCTTGAGCCTACACTCCCCCCCCCCACCCCAACGCACACATGTACCACCCCCAGGTGTATAGCACTTCCCGTATTGTTGAATATAGTAGCTAGTATCATTATATAAAATATAGTGCTAGTATATTTATGGTGCTAAGTGCAGTAGACAATATAATGTGAAACATAAAATCACAAGTTGTTCGCCCACCTGCAAACATTTCCAACCAAAAATGTGCTATAAAATGCTAAATAAGAATGAATGATGTCATACACGCTGTGATGTAGTCTACACGAGAGGAAGCAAACAAGTCGAGCCCCATGACCTCCCTCACTCTCACTATATTACTTACAATTTTACATCTAGGGCTTTATTAGTGACACGAAATTTAAAAAAAATGGCACGAAATTACCTGGGAAGGATGTTGCAGTGGAAGCAAACATAGGCTGCTACCTCACAGCCTCAAAAAGGTGTAAGGGCAAATACTATGACATTAGTTTTTGTAAACATACCAAGTCTTAACCAAACAACTTCACAAAACTTTGCATATTACTAGACTCCTTGTAAAGAAATGAAGCCTCGAGTCAGCAGAGAAAATAAATGCTCCACTCTAAAGAAGAAAAATGAATTGTAATACATATATCAAATGTGGTAAAGTAATATGACGCCAAATTACTAACTTTAGTTATAAAAAAAAAAAAAAAAAAAACATAAGGAACACTGCAACAGGCCTACTGACCCATGCGGAGCAGGTCCATGTCCCCCCCCCCCCCGGATTAGACGAATGACCCACCCCCGGATTATCCCAATGACCCACCCAGTCTGGTCATCCCCACTCAAGGATGGAGCACTGTACCAGACCCAGCAGCACAACCTAGTCAGGTTGTTAGGTAAGACACATATGCAACAGTTAGACAACTTTATTCCGAAACGTTTCGCCTACACAGTAGGCTTCTTCAGTCGAATACAGAAAATAGACAGGAACAGTCTATTTTCTGTATTCGACTGAAGAAGCCTACTGTGTAGGCGAAACGTTTCGGAATAAAGTTGTCTAACTGTTGCATATGTGTCTTACCTAACAACCTGTCGGTATTGTATACCATTTTGATGTTCAACCTAGTCAGGTCCAACTCACACCCACCCACACCCCCCTCATGTATTTATCTAACCTATTTTTAAAACTACACAGCGTTTTAGCCTCAATAACTGTACTCGGGAGTTTGTTCCACTCATCCACAACTCTATTACCAAACCAGTACTTTCCTATATCCTTCCTGAATCTGAATTTTTCCAACTTAAAACCATTTCTGCGAGTCCTGTCTTGGCTGGAAATTTTCAGCACGCTATTTACATCCCCTTTATTTATTCCTGTTTTCCATTTATACACCTCGATCGTATCCCCCCTAATTCTACGCCTTTCGAGAGAGTGCAGATTCAGGGCCTTCAGTCTATCCTCATATGGAAGATTTCTGATACATGGGATCAACTTTGTCATCCTCCTTTGTACATTTTCCAGAGCATTTATATCCATTCTGTAATACGGTGACCAGAACTGAGCAGCATAGTCTAAATGAGGCCTAACCAAGGATATATAGAGTTGAAGAACAACCTGAGGACTTCTATTATTTATACTTCTAGATATGAAGCCAAGAATTCTGTTAGCTTTATTGCGAACACTAATGCACTGTTGTCTTGGTTTTAGGTTACTGCTAACCAGAACTCCTAAATCCTTCTCGCAATCGGTAGTATTAAGATCTACATTATTTAGTTTATATGTGGCATGGTTATTTAACTGTCCAACATTTAGAACTTTGCATTTGTCAATATTAAACTGCATCTGCCACTTCTCCGACCATTGCGTCAGTCTATTCAAATCATCCTGGAGTGCTCTAATGTCCTCATTAGAATGAATTGGACGGCCTATTTTGGTGTCATCAGCAAATCTGCTTATGTCGCTATTTATTCCCTCATCTGTGTCGTTTATGTAAATTGTGAACAGCAACGGGCCCAACACTGACCCCTGAGGAACACCGCTTGTGACGTGCCCCCATTCTGATTTCTCCCCATTTATGCAAACTTTCTGCTGTCTATTTGTCAGCCATGCCTCTACAAAACACATGAAAGGTATCTGAAGCAAGTTATGAACTAATAAAATAAGTTTATTCCGACCAAGATCTCACAACGAATAAACAAATAAAGTATAGTAAACATGAGTCTTAATCCTCAGTGGCAGTTAAAGATCAGTTGTCAACAACGGAGATCAATGATTCCCTGAGCCTGAGGCTGGGGGGATGGGGGATCAGAAACGTTAAGACATTGAAGCTGGAAATCCAGAGCCTCCACCCTCAGTTGTGGCGAGGGTAGTACACAAACACGTCGAAACGGTAGACAGAGAATAATGATACTCTACATCAATAGTATGACATCTTATGAAACAATGGTATAGTATCTAAAGGATTCATCATGACGTTAAGACAGCTGTAAGAGACGGGGAGAGTGAAGTGAAGGTTTGCTTACACAGGTGAAGCAATTTGCAAAGCAGATAACACTCAGCCATATCAGTGGCTGACACAGGTGACCCTAACTGAAAGCATACATGATCAACATAAACGCAGTATCATAAAGTTACGTAAATAAAGGTTAGGTAGCAGCAGGATAAGAAATACAATCTAACAGAGAAACTAAAGTAAAGAGGACAGGTACTTATGAGCACTTCGGAAAATGAAGGTCAGTTAGCTGGACCTAACTTGCTAAGCTAACCCTTCACAAGAGTGGTGCAGAGAGAGACTGTCAGAGAGAGCTGATGACAACATTCCTCTGTAAACAAGCGCTTACCCAGGGAAACTGCCTGCCGCTCTGTCAGTCACCCATTCTCCTAGTAAGCTAAATATGCCTGACAGAAGTGATATCTGGCAACTCAGACATAGTAAACAAGAGTAAAGTCTACTTTCATGAATGAATTAGCGCTTGAATTTTTTTTTTTAAATTTTCCTGAAGTTAGTTTGTAAATATCGAATAATGTAGTGTTGTTTAAAAATGTAGTGTTGGTGTGACTTTTAGAAAATTTTCTAGCCACGAGAGAACCAACACAGGTTGGAGAAAGGCGTAGCATAAAATAATTGGAGAGTAAATAGAGAAAAAAAACTGGGTTAATCACTCCCGATAAGGAGTGTATGGGTGTTAATGGTGGACTGTGAAATAAGTATACGTTGTGGGTTCCTGTATTTGTGAAATTCAAGAGTGACTCAGCTACAGTAATGCTGATAAGTGGAATGTAAGGGATGCTGCATCGTCTGGGAATGTAGCACACCTCACGTATGTAAGCTTCCCAGTTCACTACAGTGGGTTACTGTATTGGCCATGTTCTAGTCTGTTAGGGAACCGTTAGGATGTGGGACACAAGTAATATTTAGGGTAAGTGTGTGTCATAAATTTTTGGATTTATAATTAGTTAATTGTATGATATAAAAAAATTTATATATATATATATATATATAATATATATATATATATATATATATATATATATATATATATATATAATTTATGTACATTCTCTATATGCATTATCCTATAAATGTGTATATTTTGTGAACCAAACCACTAATTAGTATTCAGGTCATTAATAAAATATAATCCATATACAGTCCACAGATATAATTTACCAGTGTTACTGGTTTAAATTTAATAATTCATAAGTATTTAAAGGTCTAGCTTATGTGAGTGTGGGATGACTAGGTGGGTATCAAAGGAGGGATACTGTTGCCACCCGGGATACTGCTGAGACTCAGTGTCCCTAAAATCCTATCCATCTCCAAGGTACAACTAATATCAATAAGTGTTATGTCTGTTTTAGTGGTGGCCTCAAATTATATGTAATAATTCAGGACTGTGTCTGTAAACTTCATATACATAATTTCTCATAAGCGCTGCATGTAACGACGATGGTAATTAGGTGACAAAATTAATTGTCAGTATGTTCTGTGTAGAAGATTGAGACACTTATGCAGCATATGGGAATCTTTATTCAGGAAACGTTTCGCCACACAGTGGCTTCATCAGTCCAATACAAAGAGGAAGGCGTAAGGAGAGGAGGAGTATGAGGTAATCAGTCCCTCAGCCTGGAGTCGATGTGTTCAGTCCATCAATCTTGTAGAATGTACAGCATAGGGCCGTAGACGTGGCTTATATACTGTAGTGAGGTGAGGTGAAGCAGGCGGAGGCGGGGTCATAGTGGTACCATCCACTAGTCGAAGTAGGTCTTCGTCCAAAGGTTGAACAAGTGTTGAAGAATTCTTTGTAACAAGATCCCATGATGCTGCAGTGTCTGACAGTTGTGATGAATGGTTTGAAAAACCGACAAGTTGAAGATTGAGACACTTATGCAGCATATGGGAATCTTCACCTCATGTCACTACAGTATATAAGCCACGTCTACGGCCTTATGCTGTACATTCTACAAGATTGATGGACTGAACACATCGACTCCAGGCTGAGGGACTGATTACCTCATACTCCTCCTCTCCTTACGCCTTCCTCTTTGTATTGGACTGATGAAGCCACTGTGTGGCGAAACGTTTCCTGAATAAAGATTCCCATATGCTGCACAAGTGTGTCAATCTTCAACTTGTCGGTTTTTCAAACCATTCATCACACACACGTTCTGTGTATTTTCTTACAATGATATTTGTTCTCATATATATTAGGTGGTTTAGGTAATGATGAGAATATTGAAGTATGTTTTTATTTTACTGGTTTTAATTAAGTATTTCTGTTTACATGTAATGCAATATTTTTTCGGATCTCATTCAGAGATTTATTTAGTGATTATTTAAGCTAAAAGTATAAAAATGTTTTATTTACTGTGGAAAAATAAAATAATTAAATTACCACGATAAATGACAGTCGAGTGAGATTTTGGCAGCGAAAGTTGAAAATCTTTAAATGTAGTCATTTTTAAATTATCTGGAACATTAAGAGCACCGCAGTCAGAAGTGATCTAATCTCCAGTTGTATCTGATTATATTATTCCTGAGAATATTTCTTTGCTATAGCTTGGAACGCACTAATTGATGACAAAATTAATATTTTGTGAAAGATATTCTCATATAAGACTATCCACGTTTTTTTTTCCAGGAAATGTAGAAGTATTTATTAGTTAAGTTATTGTTACCTTGAATACCTTTAGTTACAGTCACTAACGATTTTCATTACATTAGACATCTTTTTTTTATGTTTCTTAGAGTTTTAGTATTGGGAAGCAGTGTTTAAAATTCTTTCAGATTATCTGTCTATAATTTCAATTAAAGTTAAACCACTAAATTTTTGATCCTCACGCTGTCACTATCAATAAAAGGCTCCTACTGTATCTCTTACCTTCTCACGTAAATTATAATAATTTACTTGTTCTAATTAGATATAGTAAAGTACTTTGAAAAATTTTCGTATTAGAATTTGAGAGTCTCATTCCAAGAGTCAACCACAGTTTTTTCAGCAATTAGACATCATTCCGAGGACAGTAATTATACACTTTTCAGATGACTTTCATATTATTGCTAAGTATAGAATGGACTATATCTAACAATGTTGTAAGACTTTATATTAGCCAACTTAAAGACTTAATGATTCTGAAATAAGTTTGTTTAATTAAAATTGCTTTTGTTCCCCAAGCCTTTTTCTTTCTTTCATTAACTTTGTGTTTGCAATATTTAAAGATTGTCTACTGCAGAAGGGTCATTAAGGCGGCAAATCACCTGTACACCTCTACTCAACATTACTAGAATTTTTAAAAAACAAATTGAAATTTTACTGTTTTATATATATATATATATATATATATATATATATATATATAAAGATAGATATAGATATATATAGATATATACACACACACACAAATATACATCTTGTGGTATATATTTTGTGCTCTGCCTTGTTCACTGTGGGTTAGTGTCTGACATTTTTTGTGGCGTATCTTGCTACCTGGTATTATATATATAATATATATATATATAATATTTTTATTTTTTTATTTTGTAAATATAAATTGTAACCGTAATATTTGAATTTTAAAATTTTGTCTGGTGTAATGATGTGGTTTCAGAATCCCAAAGATAAAGATTTAACTTTGTATAGTTGATGTTCTACTGGTGATAAATAATTTTATGATAACCAAGCCATTGCTTCCTTGTATAATGTATGATTCACGACCTCACATTCCTAAAATTTAGTTGTCTAAATATATATTTTTTTTCCAGCCTGGCCAGGAGAACCCGAAGGTCACGTTGTGGGTAGTTGACCTAAGGTCGATCAAGCTACGTGACCTGAAACCCCCGAACTTGGTCAAAGACCAGTTAGTGCACTCCGCAGTGTGGTTTGTGTGGGAGGATTAACGACGTTCTTATCGTTTGTTGTCTCACTTAAGTGTAGTTTGGCCTTGGTGGCACCAACATCATTCGCACCTACCAGCCAGCCAGGCAGGCAGCCAGCCATGCAGGCACGCAAGCAGGCAGGCAGGCAGGCAGGCAGCCAGCCATGCAAGCAGGCAGGCAGGCAGGCAGCGGGCCGCCGGGACCCTCAGTCCAGGGCCACGGAGCCAGTCGAAACTACAGCGATGGACCTGCCACTACCGGAGATGGCTTTGCCCTACACTTCTTTAGTTCCCCTTTTTCCACCAGTAATATTTTAGTCCACCGGTCGAATTACTTGTAACAGGTCCATGCGATATCATTTAAAAATTGATGTTATGTGATCTTTAAGCTATTTAGAGCTTTTTATTTTAGTGCCGCTCTAATGTCCACCTACGCAATATATATTTGAGGTAATGTAAACGATATTAGAGTAAAACAAACACTGATGAGGACGTTGTTGTTCCTTTACTGCAATATTCTTCACCTTAACATCTAAACTACTTACTTCTATTGTAAGTGGCTTCACCCTCACTAGTACCGGTAGTTATGTGTTAAAAGTAGTGATGAGCCTCACCATAGATAATTTTTCTGCATTTTTGAGGGACTTTTATCCCGTAATAAGTTTACATTTCAAAATACATTCTTTTTTTGTCACATTTTAAGAAAAAATTCCGGGATTTTCACTTTTCCACGAAAATAATACATTAAGGTATTTGCAGCGAGCGTGTTACATGTCTATTTTTACTTACAATAGCATGTTTTCATGGACCAAAACATGTTATAAATTTTTTCGCCGACCCCCGTGCTTCGGGGACGAGGGGAAGTGGTCAGAATGGATCTCCTGGTTCCTAGCTACACTGAACCAACCACTTTCATTTTGCTCCTAATGAAGAAACTTCTAAAATTAGTTACTCTAAGATTTTTTTTTAAAACCCAAAAGTAGGTCTTTCACATTTTTTAGAAATAATTCCCCTAAATTTCACAACGGGGGCCCCTTACTTTCCCAAAAAAGAAAAAAAGGGGGGTGGGGATCGCTCCCTTAAATTTGGTGACACTAGATTTTTAAAAAATTATTTTTGTTTGGTTTGCTATTTTTTTTTCATTAAAACATTGTAAAATAATGCTGAGAGTAAACTTTTAGTCTGACCCTTTAGTTTAGTATGATTCTAGATGCATTAGTAACTTTCTTTGTTTTAAATGATCCTATATATAGAACCCTTCCTACCTCCCCCCCAACCCTCACTTTAAACGAGTCGTCTGTTTTTTTTGATTTTTTGACATATAAGAATTAAGGGTTTTTTGCAAAGTAAAAACACTAAAATTTAAATTTTTTTTTTTTATCTGTATTCTTCGCAAAATTTCGTAATCCCAGAGATGCCATAGTAGAATTCCTTCTTTTATTTAATTTATTTTTTTTTCTTATCTTGCTTTTTTTTGTTCCCGGGGCTCTTTAACTTTTTGTTTTATAAAAATGTATAGAGGGTTTTAAATTTTCACTTACGTAATTTTTAAGGAAGTAGTTCAAATATGAAAATACTAAAAGGGATACACTGGTTTTAAAAATTTTTTGACAAAAATTCTGAACATTTTATTTTTGTTTTGGGAACGCAGTGTGGGACACGGGGCCCCCTGATTTTTTGACCAATAACAAAAACACCCATTTTTAGAATTGCATGAAAATTCAGTGGTTAGTTTTTGGGCTCACAACCAAAAAGTATTTGGTTCGTTCCCGGGGAGGACGAGACAGAGAAGTTTTTTTACCCCTTTTTTCCCCATTTTGACCTGCGGAAATATTACCCGTATATTTTACCCGAATTTTAAAAGGCCCACCTGGAGCGGACCTGAAGAGTCCTAGGTTTGAGGAGGGGGTTGAAACCACAGCAAAGAGTCAGACACCTGGTAAAGGGGTAATCTAGCTAAACCAGGCTGATGGAGGGGGGTATACTGAGACGGGGGTGGGGTTTTGAAAAAAAGTTCAGGTGAGTATCAGTTTAGTATGTAAAAAAAAATGCTCTCTTTATGCAAACAACCCCGAAAAAATAGTGAAATTTCAAAACGCTTTTGTGACGTCCACATTTTTAAGGGAAAAGCTCTTTTTAAAAGAAAATGGTTTAAAAGGCGACTGTGTTTGGGTTCCCCCGTATTCGTTTGCATATTGCACCTGCAGGGGGTTACCAGCGTTAATGGGCGATGAGTTTTTCCTGTCTCCTAATAACATCTTTTAATTTTGCCTAAACACCCTTGTCCATAATTACTATCTATTTGCTTTTTTTGCTTTCGTAAAAATAAATCTAAATCTTTCCCTTTAATTTTGTAGACTAAAAAAAAACATTAAAGAAGTTGTGTTGCAGAGGTCTGAGCAAAAATCGAGGGTTTATTTTAGGGAAACATGAACATGTTATTAGGAGACAAACAACCAGCCCCCTTAAAAGCCCCCCATGGGGCAAGAAATATTTTTTGTTTTAATTTAAAGGAATGCAGCCTTTCTTGAGCGCGACCAGGAATAAAAATGGCAAAATTTCTTGGAAGAATATTTCGAAAGGAAAAATTCCAATATTTTGAAAAAATAAAAAAAACTTTTTATAAAAAAATTCCCCCCAAAAGCTGACGTGTGTCTGTAAGATTACTTGTCAACTTATGGAAAAAATTTTTACGTCAACTGGTAAAAGTTTGAACTAAGGTTTAAAACAACATAAATAACATTGAATGGGACAATTTCTAATTCACTGTTTTTTTCATGTGAGAGTTTTATCATCCAAATTATTTTTTAAAAATGAGAGAAAGTTATATTAAGCAATTCCTGGTCAAAACAATATAATAGAATCATGTTTTTATAAAAAATTTGTTTTGAAAATAAAAAGAATTTTCTTTTTTTTATATAAATTGGATTCATTATAATTAATAAAATTTTTTGGGAAATTTTTAGGGACATTAGAAAATTTTTGGTAGAATATAAGGTGTTTCACGGTCACTAACTACCCCCCTAAAACTAAATAAATCGGTGTTGTTGGGGGGGGGTCACGAGGGATTCATACTTATATACCATAACCTTTTAATTCTTTTTGGTTCCCTTGATAATGTGAGATGTCACGAAATCGCTTGGAAATTTTTCTATTTTTTCACATGGTTTGATATAAAGATAATATTATATATATAATATATATTATATATATTATATATAAATTTTATATTATTATATATATATATATATTATATTTTAATATCGCAAACCAAGCGATCAAGAAAACAAACCACGGGGGGGTAAATGAACTCGAGGCCTTTTGTTTGCAGTCAACAATCAGCAGCTTGCAGAGTTTCAGAAAAAAAGGAGGGTTCCAAACAAAAACGATCCTTTTTTTTTTGGCCTTGGGGGCTAATTTTCCCGGGGGGGTTTCCTGACACTTCTATCTCTCCTCCTCTCTTCTCTCCTCTCCCGGGATCGTATTTTCTTGGGAAACCTCCTCTTTCTTTAACTTTGAAAATTCTTGATGTGTTGATCGCAGCCAAAACACCTCGACCTTCATTCTACTCCCCCTCCCCCCTGGTTGTTATAAAAAAATAATAATATATTGTGTCGAAAGGTAAAACTTGCGATTTTCGCTTAAATGGCAACGCTCTTGCCGAATAAGACAAGCGAAAATTTGTATATGCAATAATTTCGCAAAAATCATTATGAACCTAACGGCAAAAATATATTTCATTGTTTATTATTAAATTATTGTAAACTTATCTAAAATATGTTTAGCTGGATTAGGCTAAATTAAATTGAGCTTGTTATAATAAAGTTAAGTAAGTTTTCTAAGGTTCTTTTGGTACAAAATTATTAATTTTTACATTAACATAAACAAAAAAATATATCTTTAAACGTATAAAAGAAAATTTTTGAAAAGACTTAATTTTAAATGAATTCTTGCTAATCGACCAATTTTATTTATTTGGCACGGCATATATATATATATATATATATATATATATATATATATATATATATATATATATTTATTATCACACTGGCCGATTCCCACCATGGCAGGGTGGCCCGAAAAGAAAAAACTTTCACATCATTCACTCCATCACTGTCTTGCCAGAAGGGTGCTTTACACTACAGTTTTTAAACTGCAACATTAACACCCCTCCTTCAGAGTGCAGGCACTGTACTTCCCATCTCCAGGACTCAAGTCCGGCCTGCCGGTTTCCTGAACCCCTTCATAAATGTTACTTTGCTCACACTCCAACAGCACGTCAATATTAAAAACCATTTGTCTCCATTCACTCCTATCAAACACGCTCACGCATGCCTGCTGGAAGTCCAAGCCCCTCGCACACAAAACGTCCTTTACCCCCTCTCTCCAACCTTTCCTAGACCGACCCCTACCCCACCTTCCTTCCACTGCAGACTGATACACTCTTGAAGTTATTCTGTTTCGCTCCATTCTCTCCACATGTCCGAACCACCTCAACAACCCTTCCTCAGCCCTCTGGACAAACAGTTTTGGTAATCCGCACCTCCTCCTAACTTCCAAACTACGAATTCTCTGCATTATATTCACACCACACATTGCCCTCAGACATGACATCTCCACTGCCTCCAGCCTTCTCCTCGCTGCAACATTCATCACCCATGCTTCACCCCCATATAAGAGCGTTGGTAAAACTATACTCTCATACATTCCCCTCTTTGCCTCCAAGGACAAAGTTCTTTGTCTCCACAGACTCCTAAGTGCACCACTCACCCTTTTCCCCTCATCAATTCTATGATTCACCTCATCTTTCATAGACCCATCCGCTGACACGTCCACTCCCAAATATCTGAATACATTCACCTCCTCCATACTCCAATCTGATATCCAATCTTTCATCACCTAATCTTTTTGTTATTCCTCATAACCTTACTCTTTCCTGTATTCACTTTCAATTTTCTTCTTTTGCACACCCTACCAAA